TCAACCTTGGCAACTTTAAGATGTGTGGACTTCAACTCCCAGAATTCCCCAGCCAGCATGTGATCCACACTTCTTAAAGTTGCCAAGGTTGAGAACACTGCCCTAAAGACACTATGTAATGCACAGTATGAATAATAAGTAGGATTACCTCAGCTCAGAGAAGAAATGATGAAAAAAAAAATTTTTTTAAAAAAAATTGCACGGACTGGATAAAATCTGTGTCCTGGATCATTTTATTACGAGGGGGAATGGGGCACTTGTCCATGATAAGCTGATGTGTAGCATCTGCTCCACTATTACCTTAAAATAAAGGAGTATGTTCTGTACTCTGTTCCTCCCTTGCCATGAATTCTGACTTTCTTCTCCCATTTTCTGGAGAACATAGAAAAGTTGAAGTGTGGTAGAATTCTAAACTCGACCACTTAGCCAAACACAAATTGCAAGTATCCACACATCTCTGGTAATAGCCCAGGTCTCAGGAATAGAATCTAATGAAGGGTCCAATCTGCTGCTCTGGAAAGTAAAAGGTGCTATTTAGGAGAGTCTCTACATTTATGCTTTTAGCATACATGACTTTGCCTTCTCTATGAAAATGGACATGGACAGGAGACAGTTGGAGGGCCAATTCCCAACTATGACTGATAATGAGAAGTGACTGAGCACTGAAATTCATGCCCATTTGAAGAGCATCTTTTGTATTCTATCCATAGAATAACCACCTTTAGTACTGAAAGATCCTTGCTATCAAATGTCAGATTCTCAGGGCAGTTGTGCAACTCTTGGGTTAATCACGAGGTTCACAACCAGGTATGTTGCTGGAAGATAACAACTTCCAAGAAAGAACTAGAGTCACAGTCAGCTGGCTCTAAAAACCATGGGTAAACACAGCTAATTAGCTATGAAGGTGTCAGAGCTCAATTAGTGGTTTCCTGCCTAGTTTGATAAACTTATCTGAAAGGCAGATCAGGAATGCAGGAATTGTAAACAAGTATCTGTTACTAGTAAGGCTAGAGATAAGAGGAAATCCAAGCCTCCTTTTCTGAGAGCTCAAAATCTGATCAGGTATACTTTCTAAACTAAATTTCTATTTGTTCAATATCTGTCAACCATCTGTTGTGGCTCCATTTTCTGAGATACAATAAAGATACAATCCCTAGTCCTATTTGCCTTTGTCTTTGAGGGAGCCTGATAGATGCAGTGATTTCATCTGAAGGTGATTTAATCAAATCATTCCATCAAAGCAGATATGTGAAGCTGCACAGCATGATGAGACATTTTTACATACCCATCTGGAGCAGCCACTACATTTTGGTCACTTCTCTGACCCTTCAGTGATCTTCTGCATTGCAGCCAGCTAGATTGCCACCACCTCAACAGTTAGAACTGGTTGCCTCTGAGGCTTTCCTGCAGGCAAGGGATAGGTCATCTTGCCTTTCACAGTGATGTGCTGAAGGGAATCTTGCCTAACTTGCACAAGGCTAATACATTCCCCATGTCATCTAGAAGGTGTGGGACAAAGATGATATTTTTGCCCACAGAAGCAACTGATACTAGCTCAGACTTGCCTGATGACTTGTGGCGCAAAAAAGAAAAGCAGCAGTGGAATAGGATCAGGATTCCATTGCACTGACTTTCTCTCTCTATCTCCTGGTGCCATCTGGGCTTGCAACCCAAGTTTTTCCTGAGTTGCTTCAACAATCAATTATTTAGGAAGTGGAAGTTGGGGAAAAATGTCAACCAATCTGTTGCATGTTATGGTAATATACAAGCTAGTATCTGCCAAATGTTATATAGACCCATAAGAACACAAGCATTAGGATGGATCACCTAGCAAATGACAACTTCAATTGTTGGCAATGCTTGCTCAACCTATAAACCTACTGCATTGCCTTGTGAAGCAATTACTCTGCATACAGATTATTAACTGCAGAAGGGTTCTTTAAAGCAATTTCCTACCATCAGTATGAAGAAGAAATTGAAGGGCTATTATAGGAAAGATGCTTTGCATTCAATTTATAAGCCTCTGGGTCTGAGGATCTAACTGCTATAGATGTTATATATGGGAGGGTTATTTGTACAGACTGGGACTTGGGTAATCAGAACTGAATCTACTAAAGCTAATAGTACTTGTAGAGTACTATCAAGTACTATAGGTAGAACTAGATCCACAGGCAAAACAGAGATTGGAATAGAAATGGTATTCCCAGTGGCCACTGCTGGCAGGGTAGTTTTCGTTGTTTTTAAAAATGGTGCAGCTTTTGGCCATTGACTGACACCAAGAGAGTGCTGGAAGAGACGGAGAAAGTGAATAGTGACATAACAGACTTAATACTTTTGTCTGTATAACTGGTAGTACAAAGATCAGTTGTTAGGGAAAATCTGTTTATTACTTAAGTGTAACTGCAGAAGTGAAAAGCATGTATGAATACAAATAAAACAAAGATGGAATAAGCAAACAAAACAAAAACTAAATAAAATACAATAATAATTACACTTTTATGAAAATGATTGCAACTTGTTTTTTTAAGCAAGCCTTGACCACATAGAATCATATTGTCCATTCTTTCCTTTACTCTCTTAAAAAGCCTCTTCATAGGTTGAGAGTTGACATACCTCATCGGGCTGACTTTTGGCATCTGGTGCACAAGTATCTTTCCAGAAATACAACAATGATAAATCCAAAGTAGGAATGTGCAAAACATTTTGAATTTGAAATGTCTTGAGCCTGACATCTTCCACTTTGAATTCAAGATCATTTTTAAGTTCAAAATGGATTGTTCTGACTATTCCAGAAGTGTGCAATGTCTGAACTCTGGAATAGTTGGAATAATTGGAACAACCCATTTTGAACTCAAAACAACTGATTCAAACTCAAAACCACACTTGAACTGTTTCACACTGAAATTTGTGCAAGGGCATCTCTGGAAGCCTCAATGTAGCTGGCAAGGAGAAAGATGGAGACTCATTTGCTAATATGTGCCAAAATATATATTTCCTGTACCTCCTCAGCTATAGAATATCCCTATAAAGCATCAGCACTGACTTGGGACCCATATGTGTGATGAACAGAGACCAGGATGAAGAACCATGATTACTTTCTTGGGATGAATATGCATATCTCACTCAGTAAAAAAAAAAAGAAGTAATATTGTGGTTTAGTATTATGTGTGAGAATCTGTGCAGAGATATATGAATAGATGATATAAGGAACTACTTTTGTATCATTTGGTAAATTAAATTCAGCATATTGAAAGTTCCCCTTCATGGATCACTGCCTTGTCGTGGCGAAGGGGCTTGCGTAACTCAGTG